CCCCAGGGGCTGATGGCATTTGTGCTGCCTCAGGTTCATGTCCCCACAGCACCAGCATGGGGGTGCTCCCGCCTGCTGTGTGCAATGCAAACAGGGGCTGCTGAGCCAGTGTTGCCGTGTCTGTGCCTGCAAGGATGCGGCACCTCTGTGAGCTGGGGGAGAGGCCAGGGCTGCAGAGGGGGGATGTTGTTGGCAGCTCCATGAGGACGCTCTGGGACGCTGCCCTGGGCTGTGCAGCGCACTGGGGATGGATCAGCCCCTGCTCTGCTGCTCCTTCCCGTCTCCCCCAGGGCCCTTGCAGAGCACCAGCCGTGCTGTTTGCCCCCAGCCTGCCCACGGCCAGCCTGGGGCTGCTCACGGGGATTTTCTGTGCTGAGCATTGGCCTGGCCGTGTTCTTGAGAGAGCCTGGGCAAGGAGCCTGGAGCCCCCAGGCCCTGGCCTGAGGCGTCAGCGCTGCCCCAGCAGTGCCCATGGCCTGTCCCTGCTGCAGCCCCGGCACTGCCACCCCCAGGACTGTGCCCGGCCCCGAGAGCACTCAGGCCCTGCAGCGACACCAGGGCCACCAGGGCAGCAGGGCAGGGCCACGGGAGCAGCACTGGCAGCACCAAGTGCTGCTGCTCCTGGGCACAGCTGCTGTGCCAGCACTGATCTGCCCCAGTTCTGCACACAGACATTGTTATGAACAAAACAGCCTGGCTGGGACACTTGGCTTGGGCTAAGTACTGACATTGAAATGTTAATTAGCTAATTGTTCCTGGGAATCACCTACCTCCCCCCACCCTCACTACCATTCTAGGACTGGGATGCAAAATAATCCAGTGGATTCATGGGAGGGGGTTTTGGGGATGAAAAACACCCCTAAATGGAAAAGATGGGCACAGTGAAGGGGGCTGGATGGGTGTGCTCGTTGGGGAAAAGGGAACCCCATCCCTAGTCTGTATTTGACCTGTCACCATAACCTACAGAGGATCAGACTGGACTGGGCTGTGGGAAGCAGGAGCAAAGCTCACACACTTCCTGGTGTTACCAGGAGGGAAGGAGAGGGACAGCTGCTGCTGGACTTTGGCAGCAGGCTCTGCACATACCCTCACCCTTCAACTACCAGAGTGCCAGGAGGAAAGGAGAGAGGACAGTCTGCTGGGACTTCAGATATGGACTGCACACCTCTTCACCTCCAGCTACCAGCGTGCCACAGGGATTCCAGGGACAGACTCTGCACGCCTGCTCACCCTTCGGCTACGGGTGAGCTCCTCTGAGCCCCCTGTCGAGCTGACTTTTTAATAAAGAGCTGACTATTAATAAAGGCATAGACCCTGTTCATTTCAAGTATCAATCACAGAATGCTGCAATTGCCTCTGATCTAAAGAGAAATGTAATAAAATACACCCTTTAAAATAGGAATGTGTATTTCTTACAAGCACTTTGAAATCTTTCTCCACAACTGGAATAGGAAAACTTTAATGACCCTCTCAGGGCTTTGGTGTTGTTTACATCAGACTCAGTCCCTGAGAGTGTCTTTAAAAAACTTCTCAGGAACTCAAAGTTAAATTAAAACTTCAAAGTTTCTTGAAGTTTTAATGGGTCCCACTGAGGGACAGGACTGAGAAAGTGTCCCCAGGTTCCAGTTAGAGCAGAACACTGGGGGCAGAGATGACAGCAGGGGACAAGCAAGGGAAAGGTGTCTCTGGTGCTGAGCAAACCTGGATGTGTTTCAGGAATGCAAAGGGCCCAGGCCTGAGCCCCAGCCCCTGGCAAGGCAGATCCTGTCTCTCCCTCATTGCTCAGGGCTCTTCCCAGGATGGGCACTGGGATGTGGGGATGTGCAGTGCCAAGGGCAGGACCATGGGGCGGCCCCTGCCAGGCTGCTGAGCAGGGACAAGGAGGCACTGAGGCCCCAGGGCTGCAAGGGTCACTTGTCCCCTCGTGGCCTCAGGCCCAGGGCCAGCAGCCATGGCCAAAGTGCTGCACAGGTTGGCTCTGTCAGGGCCTTGCAGCTGCTGCACATCCCTGTGCCCTCTGCAGCCCAGGCTGTCCCACGGTGTCCCTGCCCTGCGCCTCTGTCCCTGCAGGCTGTCGTCATCCCCGGCTGCCCCACCTCGCTGGCCCTTCCTTTGCTGACAGCTCTGCCTCCTGCCTGCCCCTGCCTGGCCACACAAAGCCTTGGCCTTGATACCAAAAGGGTTAATTCAGTTTTTACTGTGCCTGTGAACTTTTAACACAGGAACAAGGTGTGCAGGAGCTGCTTTTCCAGCAAGGACAGTTGGAAGTGTAGAAGACATCTGGCTCAAGAGTGCAGTGATAGAAAAAGCAAGGACTGAACCTGGGAACTTGGGGTGGGTTTTATGGAAATGGGTAAATTGTAATTCACATTTAGTGACTGTGTATAAGCAACACACTGGTAGAGTTACATGTCCACATAAGGTTAGGAGTTATCCCTCACTAGACCCAAGGCCTGAATAAATGATCCCCTCTTAAATAGCAAATTAGTGTTAAGGAGCCTTGTTCTGATATTTCAGAGATTTGGTGACCATGGGACCTCACAGAACCCAGGAGTCAGCTGTGACTCTGTCCAAACTCAGGGAACAAAGGGTCCATGGTGACACAGCGGAACCCCATGGAACCAAAATCCATTTTGGCACACTGGGGCCACATTGAACCAATGGTCCATTGTGACACCACGGATCCAAGGAGACCATTGTGACCCTGAGAAACCTCTTGGAACCAAGGGGCCATTCTGACACAGCAAGGCCTCGTGGAACCACAGGTCCATTGTGACACTGCAAGGTCACACAGAACCAAGGTGGCCATGGAACCAAGGTTCTGCTATGGAACCTCATGGAACAAAGGGACCATGGTGACACTGTGGAACCAGGGAGACTGTTTTTGGCAGTAGGAAAGCTCATGGAACCCCAAGTCCATTGTGACACAGCAAGGCCTCATGGAGCCAAGGGACCATTGTTAAACTGTGCGGCCTCATGGAACCATGAGCCATTGTGACACAGCGTGGCACCTCATGGAGCCAAGAGTCCATTGTTACACTGTGGGGCCCTGTGGAACCAAGGGGACCACAGTGACTTTGTGGGGCCTCATGGAACAATGGAGACTGTTCTGACACTTTGGGACCCACTGGAACCAAGGGGCCATTAGAGCATGGCAGGGCCTCATGGAATCAAGGGGACTACAGTGTCACTTAGACCATTTGATTTAACCTTACTTACAGGCCTGACTGGCTCAGCTACCCAAGGCACTCAGAGCCCTCAGAGAGCAGCATTTCTGCCACATTTCCCCAGCACAGGCACTCCTGTGTGCACACAGACTCAGAGAGTCAGTGCAGGGCACCTGTGAGAAATTCCCCTGAGGGCAGGGAAATGCTCCCTGTGGATGCTTTGGCATCTCCCCAGTGGGGAAGGGTTGAGCCTGGAGGAGTGGGGGGATCGGCCCAGGCTCCCTCGTTGTTCGGGATCCCCCGAGTGCAGCAAACGGGAGAGTTCCCAGCTCGGAGAGGCCCCACTCAGAGGGAGTCACTGGCCCAGGAGAGCTCCAAGGGCTCCTTTTGGAGCGCTGTTTGTAGGGCCCCAAGAGAGGGGCTTCAGTCCCAGCCATGTTTCACCCTGGCCGCACTTGGCATCAGCAGCTTTCTTTGGCAGGGTGAGAACAGGGATGTTGTGCCACTGAGGGAACACAAACAGTTCCCAGGGCTGCTCCTAAAGCAGCCAGGAGCTGGTTGGGCAGCAGCAGTGCCTGGAGCAGACAGGGTTTGTGATGAGCTCCAGAGGAGCTGAGCCCAGGGGCTGCTGGCCAAGGCCGAGGCCCAGTGAGCATTTCTCAACTGGCAGGGCGGCCTGAGAAGGGGGGGAGGGGGGGAATAATTCCCCCCCTCAGTGTGCTCCCAGTCACTCCAGGATTTCCATGTCCCTGCTCCAAATGCTGCTCCCAGCCCTGATCCGTGGGGATGGGAATGTGCCGCTCCCTTGCCTGGGCAGGGTCACACCTGAGCCAGGTGTGCAGGGCAGGACCTTGCCCTGACCCCAAGCACTGTCCCAGCTCCAGGATCTGCTTCCCACCGGCCTCTTCCTCCTGCAGCCCCGAGCCCAGCTTGGTGCTGAACAAAGGGGCTGGGCCGGGGTCATCCCCTGGTGGCGGCTGTGCACCTCCTCCGCCCCCTCCTCAAATTCCCTCTGGGGGAGCAGGAGCTGGGGCAGGAGCCCTGTGGGGAGGGACAAGGGGGTGACACCAGGATGGGGGTCACACATGCTCTGGGGGGACACACATGGACCCTGGGGACCCCTCCTCAGAGCCAGGAGGATGAACCCCAACATGGAGCCACCAACCCCCAGCAGCATCTTGGGGGGTGGGACCTGGTGGCTGCTTTGGCGTTCTGGGGGATCATGACTACCCAAAAACCCCCTCCCAGCCCCACAGCCACTCCCAGACTCCTGAAACCACCCCACAGCTCCCAGCCAGGACTCCCCAGCTACTCCCTACAAGATAAATGTCCTCAAGAACCACCAAACCCCTTCTCCATCTCCCCCAAGACCCGCCCAAATTCCCTGCAAGCCACACAGCTCTGTCAGGGACCCAAACCTCCCTCACAGACCCCTCCATGCCTCCTCCCAGCACCACAAATGCCCACAAGATTGACAGAAGCCCTTCCCAGTCCCTCCAGGAGCCCCTAAACTTCCACCTCCCATGGCACTGACCAGGAGAGGTTGGTGGGCAGGAACATTTACAGCCAGGATCAGCTCGGGCACTTCAGCAGCGATTTGGGCACTTTGGGAGAACATCCCAAATGGGGAGACGCAGGCCAGGGACTGGGACAGACAGAATTCTTGGAGAACAGGTGGGCTCAGGTGGACACGTTCTGCCAGCACACCTCTGTGATTATGGCCATGTCTTCTGGCTTTGACAACCTCAGAACACCCAAATTCTCCAAAATATTCCAATGAACCAAATCCACATTCACCCCCAAATCCTGGTAAATGGTGCAGGTTAAGATATCTTAGTTTAACTTCTTTATTTTCACTCCAGTTTTGGTTGTTTAGACTGGGTGAAGAAGGAAATTATTTAGATGGAAACGACCTCCAAGATCATGCAGCGCTGCTTGATCTGCCACCAGAATAACTTGACAGAGCAGGTGATATTTTTGGGGGTATAAAGTCAACAAATCACTTCCTCCCAATGAATTTCTGGTTTAGATCAGTGTCCTTATGGATGTTCCTGCCTCTGTGTTCATCCAGGTGCCTATGGGAAACTAGGAGAATGTGGAAACCACCTTACAGGTGTCTTCTCAGCAGGGATCACTTGGAATGTGGGTCACCAGGGCTCTGCCCAACATGGGTCCTCCTATGGGGGATGGAATTGGAGCAGTGCACGAAGGTCTTCCTGCAGTCGGGGCACTCACAGGGCTTCCCTTACCAGTGCTTCTGTTGGTGTCGGGTCAAGTGAGAGCTCTGGGTGAAGCTCTTCCCACATTGAGGACACTCGTAGGGCCTCTCCCCAGTGTGGATCCTCTGGTGGATGATCAGGTGGGACCTCTGGCTGAAGCTCTTCCCACATTCCCCACACTCATAGGGCCGTTCCCTGGTGTGGATCCTCTGGTGGCAGTTCAGGCTGAATCTCTGCCTGAAGCTCATCCCACATTCCCCACACTCGTAGGGCCTCTCCCCAGTGTGGATGCGCTGATGGTTGATGAGGCTGGAGTTGTGCTTGAAGCCCTTCCTGCAGTCAGGGCAGCGGAAGGGCCTCTCATCCGTGTGAATCCGCTGATGTACAAGGAGTTCAGAGCTGGTGTGAAACCTCTTCTGACACTCGGGACATTCATAGGGCCTCTCTCCAGTGTGGCCGCGTTGGTGGAAGACAAGTTTGGAGCTGCAGCTGAAGCCCTTCCCACACTCCCCACACTTGTAGGGCCATTCCCCGGTGTGGATCATCTGATGGCAGATCAGGGTGCTGCTCTGCCTGAAGCTCTTCCCACACTCCAAGCACTTGTAGGGCTTCTCCCCATCATGATGCTGCTCAGGGACCACCAGCTCTGAGCTCTGGCTGAAACTCTGCCCATCTCCCTGGCACAGTCTGGGTCTTTCCTCCTCAGATCCTCGCAATCTGCGTTTGCAGCCCTTCCTCCTGTACGATTGACGGGGGTTTTCCTCGTTAGATTCCTGCACTGTGGAGTCGCTCAAAACGGCCTCTTCCACGAGGTTCTGCTGCGGGGATTTGTCCTCCCTGCTCTCCATCCTCAGCTCCTGCTCTGGGGTAGGAAGGACAAGGAGAGGATGGGATTTGCCTCCGTGCCACAGGGAAGGGCAAGGAGATCCCCCCAGTGCGTCCCCGGCAGGAGGGCACCGGCAGCGGGGCTGTCCTGCAGCCGGGGGCCGTGCTGGGCTGGGAGATGGAGCAGGAGAGAGGGGGAAAGGGGCACTGACTTCCTCCTCACCTGCCTGGGTGTCCCTGGGCATCTTCCTCGCAGCCTCCTCCTCCATCCAGCCAAAGTTTGGGAGTGGGAAATCCTGGTGTGGGGAAAAACAAGGTGTGAACACCTTGGGTTGGGGATTCCTCCTGCCCAAATCCATCTCCAGAAGTCTCCTGGTGTCCATAAAAAACTCCAAAAATCATGAGTGAATCAAAAAAAGCCACCAGGAGTGTCCCATTTCCAGTCTCATTTCTCTGGGGTTCTGGTGTCCCCCGTCTCAGGGCTGCTGGGGATCCTCGAGGGTCCTGGGGATCCCCCTTCTCCAGGGTCCTGCTTAGGGATGCTGGGGGGTTTTGCAGTACAAGGGTCCCCCTCTCCAGCCTCCCCCCAGTCCAGGCATTTGGGGGTCACCCCCTCCCCATCACCCTGTCCTGGTTTAGGGCAAGTTTGGGAGAAAACCCCCAAAGGGGATTTTCTAGAAAGCAGATTCAAGTGGTCTCTCCCCCAACCAGTTCAGGAAAAGATTTCCTTGGAGAAAAAGTAGAAAAAACCTGTTTATTTAACAGGCAAAGCATTCACCAGCACAAAACATGAACAATATTAAACAATAAAACCTGTTGTTGCTCCAAAAGAGATGACAAACTCAGAAAGTCCCTCCGTGGGCTGTAGCTCGGCTCACTCAGGCTCTGATCAGTCCCTCCATGGCCCAGGCCCAGCCCGGTGGGCCACAGGTGTGAGCTGCCGGTGCTCTTCTGGTGTTCAGTCCAGAGCAGGTTTAAACAGCTCCAAAGAAAAAGAAAAACCACAGCCCAGGGAACTTCTCTGCCTCAGCGAGCTAAAAACTAACTAAAAGCAAAGGAGAGCTCTGTCCTGCTGTCTGTTGGCAGACAACTGATACCTCAGGTTTAAGTTTTTCTGTTCTGTTTCGGTGTGCAGCTTCTAGCTTTAGATTAAGTGTTCCTGGGATCTTTTCACAGGGTGGTGAAGACAAAACAATCCTGTTCTAGCTGGAGAGTCAAGGACAATCTCTTCAAACTTCAGGCCCAAAGCACAAACAACAGGAAAAGAGGAGGGCAGGCAAGCAAGGAGGATGAAAGTTCATAATTTGAAGCTATTAATTGGGCAGTTAAATCCTGTATGCAAACGGACTAACACTTATAAAAATGTGAGATCTCATGACCAAGCCCTCTTTTGCTTCCATCTCGGAGCCATCCGGGCAGAGCCCCGACCGTGGCTCCGGTACTGCCGGGGTGTGGCCTTTGAAGGCACTTCAATAAATATCCACTTTATTCCTCTTGGCTCCGTCTGGCCTCTGTCCCAGCTCCTTAAGGCATCTCAGCAGCCCAGGAGCCGGAATGTGGAGGGGTGAGTGCAGCTCCTGAAAACAAACTGCGCGCTTCTTCCTCCCCCTCTTCGCTCTCAGAACCAGCCCTGAAGGTGCAGAACTCATTTCGGGGCCAAACGGACCAATGGGGGTACGAGCATCGTGAGGTCACCCCAGGACAGGCCCTGCCAGGCTCAGGGGTCCCGTCCCCGCCTCATCTCCGGCTGCCGGGGGTCCCCCAGCTCCGGTATCGCCCCTTCCCCTCTGCCGCCCCGGGGGTCCCACGTTCCGCAGCCCCGGCTCTCACGGGGATCCCCAAAACCAATGTCCCGCCCTGTCAGCGCCGGGCCAGCCCCGCGTGGTCCCCCGGGACCCTCCGAGGGGCGATCACAGCTCCTCTCCCCCCGAAAAAGCTCCTCTTGGGGAGCCCGGAGGGATCCGGGGCTCGGCATCTGCCGGCTCCGAGCGCTCTCCAGAAAAATCCTCCCGGAGACCCCTCGATAGAGCCGGGGCGAGCTCGGCCTCCCCCTGCCCTGCGGCTCGGGGCTGGGGCGATGCTGGCGGGGCAGGGGGTGCTGCAGCCCCGGCGTGCGGGCGGTGCGAGCGGCGGGATTCTCCCGCTCCTGCTCCCGCCGCTCCTCCTGTCCCTCCTCCTCCTCCCGCAGCCCCTCCGCTCCAGCCCGGAGCTCTCGGGCACTTAAGCCACAACAAGCATACCTTGTGAACAAAGGAATCACCCTTAAAACTACACTATTGCATATTCATATATCCTTCATGGTTATGCATACATTCTATTTAAAACAAGAAACTCTGTCTGTTATATGCCAACTGTTTCCTTTAATCCCCATGGCAAGGCCTGAAGAAATTAGCTTCTTCTGACAAGAAAGCCATAAATTCCTCTTCTCTGGAAGATTTAGGCGTTCTGTGATGGTTACGTCAAAGCGAGTCTCTCATTCCTTAAAATAAAAAACAAAACACATAAGGAGTTTCTATTTTAACTACTAAAGCTTCATTTTAACTACAAAACTACATTTACCATGCTATTAAAATGTTAATACAGCACTACGAATCAAACTAACATAATACATACAGTAACTCTGCGCAAAGAGCCATATATTATGCGTTTTTCACATTGGGTGCCTCCTGGATTGCCCCCGGAAAGAGCCCATCTCTGCACGGAGCCACGTTTTTTCATTTGTAAATTAGGTCTTTCTTTCTCTGTCATCTGTGGTTTCTGCAGCCCCGGCTGCTGCTTCTGGCCTTTTAAAACTTTAAGAATCTTTTTGTACAAGCACAACTGACTTGATGTATATTTTACATAAGCACGAATTATTCCATAACATATATTACAATGGGGCTGCAGAGATCCCCCCTGCAGCTCCGTGGGGATGCAGAGATCCCCCTGCAGCTCCGTGGGGATGCAGAGATCCCCCTGCAGGTCCGTGGGGATGCAGAGATCCCCCTGCAGCCCCTGGAGGAGCCAGGCTGGAGCTCGGCGATGCCTGAGAGGAGGCTGTGACCCCGTGGGCAGAGGGGCCCCGCTGGAGCAGCCTGGCCTGGCAGGACCGAGCCCGTGGCACAGTGACCCACGCTGCAGCACTTGGAGGGGGCTGTGCCCCAGGGGATGGACTCGGCTCGGAGAAGTTCCTGGAGAAGTCTCGGCTGGGAGAGAGCGCAGGGTGCAGCAGGGAACGACTCCTGTCCCTGAGCAGAGGGAGAAGCCGCGGGGGATGAGCTGAGCACGGCCCCATTCCCTGTCTCCTGCCCTGCCGGGGGAGGAGGTGCAGCTGGGAGCAGGGAGGCGTGGGGAAAGCTGCATTTAAGGCTCTGCACTGACTTCTCCTCATCCTGCTCTGAGTCTTGGGAGTTTTCTGCCAGAAATCTCTCCCCTCCCCCGCTCACCCACAGGGCTTTGGGCAGGTTTCCCTTTTTGGGGGCAATCAAAGCGAAGCACCGATGCACTAATGAGGGGCAGGAGAAGTGAGGCTCCCGGGCTTCCCGCAGAGCCGGAGGCACGGAAGGCGCAGGGCCGGGAAAGCCGTGGCGGGAGGTGCGGAGAAGTTTGTTTGTGTGGGCAGCTCAATCCCGCCTCGGGCCCGGGCCCGTCCCGGGGCTGTTGCTCATCTCCGGCTTTGCCCTCACGCAGCGCGGGGGGCCCTGAGAGCGCGGGGCGAGTCTGGGCCGTGCGCAGAGCCCGCCCCCAGCTCGCTGCCATTGGCCGCTGGTGCCGTCAGTCGTGGTTGCGGCGCGCTGATTGGTGGGAGCGGGGCGCAGCACGGCCCCGGCGGCGGGCTGAGGGCGGCCGTGGGCGGGCAGCGGCGCCATTGGCGCCGGGAGCGTCTGTGCGGGCCCGGGAGCGGCGGCAGCGGCCGGAGCGCGGTGAGGCGGCGTCGGCGGAGCTCGGAGGCGGCCCCGGCGCAGGTGGGAGCCGCGCTGGGTTCTGCGGGGGCTCGGGGCTGGCTGCGGGCGGAGGGGGCGGCAGGGGGCTGCGGCGGGTCGGTGGTGCCGTGTCCGGCCCGTGCCGGCCCCGGGCTGAGGGCGCGGCGGGAGCGGCTGCCCGCGGTCTCCTTCCCGCCGGGGCCTGGGCAGGAGCCGCTGCCGGAGCAGCGCTGGCTCGGCCCGGCTGCTGTGGGTAGGACCGAGGGGGCTGCCCCGCGGCCGGGAGCGTGCGGGGAAATTCCCGTCGCCGGAGGTTTCTGTGGCCGGAGGAGAGCGAGGAGTCCTGTAAAAGTGACTTTATTGCCGAGCAGGGGGAGAGGCCGTGGGGCATTTGCCGTGCGCTCTCTGCCATGGTTGTAGTCCGCAGCCTCCTTTTTATCCTCATTTTCCCGGCCGCATCTCCCTCTGCCTTTGCCCACGGGCTGAGGTCCTTGGAAGGTTCAGACTTCCCGATGCGCCTGCTGCCTGTCCTCGTTAATATGCACCCTCCTTTTGTATACCAGCCGATATTCATGGCTCTGTTAAGCCTTTGTTCTCCTGGAAGTTCGGGAATGTAGCGGGACTTTGAGCAGCTGTGTGGGTCAATTTGTGACATTTATTGGAACTGATGGTTTCTTTCATTACTTCCTTATCTACAAATTCCTGCCCCTATCTCCCCTCCAATTCACTCATTGCGTTTTTTTTTTTTTTTTTTTTTTTTTTTTGTTTTCCGTGGGTCCTCTTTGGTTTTGGGATTATTCTCGGTGCCCTCATTCCCTGTCCTTTTGTAGCCGTTTGTGGATCAGGAGGCCTGGCTGCCACCTGCATCCCCTGGCTCAGCTGCTGGATGAGCTGCACTGCCAAGGTGTGGAGCATGGTAAAAAGATGAGAGTTGCTGCGGCACAGAAGAGGAGAAGCGGCATTCATGTAACCCCTGGTGTGCCGGGGAGCCACGAAAGTGTGTCCCATTCCCATCCTTTCCCTGTTTGGACCAATACATAAACTGCTCTCCTTTTTCGTTTGTTATCTTTTTCAGCACTTTTCCCTTGTCTGGTCTTTGCCAACAGCAGTTGGAGCCATTTAGTTTTGCACAAACTCCCTTTTTTTCTGCTCACAGATAATCTGATCTCATCCCCTGGTGAAATGTTGTGTTCCTCTTTCAGTGGATTGGTCAGCAGGAAGGTCAGGAGCTGGAGCTGTCTGGTTGGTTCTTCTTTTGAGGACAGCTTTTAATCTAATGATGCCATTGAAATTATAAATGGGTTCTCTGCTTCCTGATATGAATTGGTTTGGGTTCCCAGGGGCTGGTCCATGGTGTTGTAGGATTTGTTCTGGTGGCCCTTCATCTTTTCCCCATTTCTGGGTGCTCCCTGCAGCTGGGGCTGCATCAATTGACCGCATTTTTCTAAATACATCATCAAATACTTGAATTCCAACTAATTTCCCTGGACTTGTTCTAGCAAAAGCCCCAGTGCTCTGATACACCCTGTACAGCACAGACAGTGGCAGCAGATGTTGGAGTGGGCAGGGGGATGATCCCCCCTTATTTTAGTGAAGTTTTCACAACATTCTCCATTTGCTGTTTCCCTTTGCAGCCTCAGCCATTTCTGTTTCAGAGTCAGATCCTCACCATGGGCTCTGCCTTCAGCCGTGCAGATTCCATCTGTGCAAGCAGGCAGAGCTTGGGGTGAGGGGCAGAGGGAATCAGCCAATTCCTGCCCCAGGCAAGAAGAGCCAGGTACATTGTCCCCACTCTGCCCCGGCAGAGTTAATTTGCATTTCTAAAGCTCCTCTCCTGGGTGCCTGGAATGCAGCTTCTCTTCCAGAGCAGCCTTTAGCAGCTTCACAGCTGCCCCCCCCCCCCACCAGCACATCCTGCTGCTTTTTTTTTTTTTTTCCCCTTCAAATCATGTATTTATGGTTTGTGAGTTAAAGGGTCACCTTTAATTCTCTTCTAGTTTTGCAAAATGCGGCCTAAAGAGGAATGTCGAAAAACCCAGGCTAAAATTTTTCTATCTCTTAGAGCAACACAAAAAAAGCCACAATAAAATTCCAAGGCGATTCAGTTTTTTCTACTTCTCCTCGAAGTAAAAACTCATTCTCACATCCCTAACCGAAACCTAACCGGCAATATAGAAGTAGGAATAATACAAAAAAATACTCTAATGCTCTAAACTTTGCGTTGAAACTGCAAGAAAAAGGAAAACTCCACCAATATGTTTCGTGTTAGAGTAAAGGCATTTCTTGATTCTGGCCAGGATGTGCAACAGAAATCATTCCATCCCCACATAGCCCGGGTGTGCAGAGAAAATCGTTCCATGACACGTGGGTTTTACTCGATTTTTCCCTAAATTAATACAGTCTAAAGCAATCTAAATCCACTGGTTTAATGTTCTGTAGTTTCAAGTTGTGCAGATTTCTTTGCTTCTGCTGTTAATGAGGTGGGAAGTGCTGATTTCCTTCTCAGCCTTTTGCAGACCAGGTGTCTGCAGCCCTGGCAGTGTCTGGGGTAGGTGTTGGTTGCTGTTTGCTGCTGGGGTTGATGTTTTGCTGCTGGGTGTTATCTTTGTGGGTATCTTTTGGGCCATTCCCAGTGTGTTGAGATGTTAAACTCATCTCCATTGAGTGGTGTAACATCCCTTAACAAAACCTTTAACATTTCTTTCCCCAGGGCCAAGGCAAAGCAAGCCTGAGTAGAGAAATGAAAGGTTAACAATGTTAAAGTCTATGAGCTGGTGTATTTTCCATCAATGCCATGGCAGGCAGGGCAGTGTGTGAGTGTAAGTGAGAGCCAGAGTGGAATTGTCCCGTGCTCTTGCCCAGCAGCTGTGGCAGGGCAGGCCCAGAGAGCGCTGAAGCTGCAGCAGTGGCAGCAAGGGCTGTCCCCGGTGGCTGGAGCTGCCAAAGGAGGGTGGCCAGGCCGAGGATTTCAGCAGAGGATGTGTGGGCAGGCCCAGGGCCTTGCCCCGCTGTGGAGCCCTGGCTGCTGCTGCGCTGCCTTCAGTGCAGGCTCAGTGGGGGCCTCCCATCCTCCTGCTGCAGGCGGGAAGTGCAAATCTCCGGGGCTGCAGAGACCTGGAGCCGAGGCTGAGGGGTCCCCCCGTGCTCAGCTGTGCTGGCGGCTGTTTCTGGCCTCGGGGCCACTTGGCACGGGCCACGCCACTTGGCCACCAGTGGTGCTGCTCTGCACTCCTTAGGCAGGAGCCGATGTCCTGCTGGGATGTTGGCAACAGCAAAGTGCCAAGGCAGGCTCTGTGCCAGCCCAGCTTCCTGGGGGAGAGATTGCACCAGAGACAGGATTCTGGCCACAGACTGCTTTAAATGTGCATCCCTTATCTCCACCCTGCACTAGGTGGAGAATTCCCAGGGTAAGGAATTCCCGAGATCAATTGCAAGGGGAAATGATTGAATATCTGCCCTGGGTCTGGCTCTTCTTCTTGCCCAAGCCAATGGCAAAAGCCGTACCCATGGCATCTTGGTTTCTATCCCCAGCTTCCAAAGGTGTTTCTTTCCATCCCCTTTCATTCTTTGTACCCAGCCTGAGCTCTGGGGGTGCCAGGGGTTCTGGAGGTCCCATTGTATTCCTAAAGCTGCCATAACCCCCTGGAGGATCTTTCCTGTAAAATGAGCTCTGCTGTCTGAGTCTGTTGCTTCCACAATCCCTTTTCTATGAATTACTTCTTTTAGAGATACCTTAATAAGTGATCCAGTGGCTGCTGAGCAATCAGAATTGCTTTTGCCCCCCTGTTAGGTGAGATGGTGTCACCAGAAGATATTGAAGCCTTCCTGCTCAGGGCATGTCAGTGCCAGGCTCTTACAAGCACACACAGCTGTGCCGGTTGAGCTGACCATGGGGGTAACCTGGGCTTTGTCTGATTCCCTTTCCTCAATAACAGCGTGTCTTGGAACTCTTTTCCCTTCTGCTGCCCTTGAAGAGCCATCCACAAAGACATTTTCTGCCTCAGGCCAGGCAATGTCTCCTGAATCTCCCCCAGGCTGGGTCTGGAGCTGTGTCACTTGAATGCAGTGCTGGGTTTCTTCCCAGCCCCTCTGGGGGCTGTTCAAACAGGAGGCTGGGTTAAACCCTTCCCCTGTCCTCAGTTCTGAATCCTCCTGTGCCACTGAACAAGTTTCACACTGTAATAACCGAGCACTGCTCATCCATTGCGAGGCTCTTTTGGTTATCAAAGCTTGAACTTGATGGCAGACTGGAACAGTTGGAGATCCTGTTGTCATCAGGTTTTGGGCCTCGGTTCCCGTTGAAGCTGTGGCTGCACAATTCTGCAGGCAATGAGGCCACTCTGGCCACTGGGTGAAACATTTTGGCCCAAGAATTCCTTTGGCATGGCCCTGTTGAACATTCACCTACAATTCCAATTTCTTTTCTGAGTCTGGAAGAGCCACAGCTGAGGCATCAATATTTTTGGTTTTTCATTTTCTCAAGTTTTATTCACTTTCTCCTGTCCATACCACAGCATGGAGGCTGTCTGGGGTTAAAAAGTCCTACAATGTTCTGGCTGGAACAGAGAATCCTCAATCCAGGCTGTGTAATTCCCTGTTAATCCTCAAAATTGTCTCTGCTCCTTTTTGGTCCTGGATAACGTTACTTCTGAGATTGCCCACACCTTCTCTGGGTCATTCAACCACGAAACTTCAGTCAAAATATGTCCCAAATATTTAACGTTTTTCTCCACCATTTGCACTTTTTCCCTTAATACTCAAAAGTTGTTTTTTATCTAGAAAATTCAGCCATTTCATAGAGGCTTTGTCTACCACTTGTTCTTGTGCTCCTCATTGGAGCCATCTGATTCCCTGACTGGCAGGATAGGAGTGCTGTAGGGAGACATCCCTGGCTCCAAAAGCCCTGCCTTTAGCAGGGACTCCATACCAGGCTGTGAGCCCTTCCTTCCCTCCCCTGGAACAGGGTGTTGCTTTTAGCCCCCACTTGTCCTGGTTGCTTCCAAGTAATTTGGAGAGGCTCCACATCAAATTTTCCCTCTGGGGCTGCCCACACCTCTGGGTTCCCTTCAGCATAGGCCTTGCCAGACATTTGACACAAAGGTACAGCAGCAATAGCCTCTGTATCACCTTTTACAATATTACAATGCCACCATCAACTTCCTTCCTAGTTAATAACAATCACAGTAGGAAGAAAAGAAATTAGTTTATTTCAAACCTATCCCCCACAGCTCCTAATTGAACAAATGACACCAGCTCAGCTTTCCCATTTATTCCCTTAATAATGAAAACATTCCTTTACAATGTTCCCCCCTTAGGTGTAAGATTCAGAGTGGATGGAGAGGCCCCTGTGTCCATCAGGAGAGGCCTCCTCTGGATGCAGACCCAGCCTGGATGTTCTCCAGGGCTGCAGTGTGGTGGGTCCCCGGTGGGATGGGAGCTCAGAGAGCCCTGACAATCCATGTCCATGCAGGGGTGGACTCGCTCCTCCTGAGGGTGCTGCTGTCTGTGCTTGCAGTGTCCTTGTGGGCTGCAGCTGGAGCCCTGACTCCTTCCCAGGGGCTGTTTGGGTGGGCTCTGCCCTGGCCAGGAGGGCAATGCCTCTGCCAGGTGCTTGTGGCCGAGGCCGTCCCCTGGGTGCTGGGGCCCCCTTGGGCCCTGGGGTTGGTCCCTCAGGGGCTGTGGGAACTCTGCCATGGCCTTTGCCTTCAGCTTGGCCTTTTGCTCATCCCTCCTTGCCTTCAGCTGCTGTGCCTTTGTGCCCAAGTGCTGCAGGGCCTTCTTGTGCCACTCCTGCAGCCCCGGTCACTGCCTGTGGGTGCTCATCCTCTGAGAGCTGCTGAGCTTTCTGCAAAATCTTTCCTTTCTGCAGGGACCCAAACCAAATCCTTCACAGAAAATCCTGATCCTTCCATGTGCACTCTGCATTTCCCAGATGTTGCTTTGTTTTGCTCCTTGTGCTCAGGGTCCCCTGCACAGCCCGTGTGGCAGAGCCGGTGCCTGTCCTGCCGCAGTGTCCAAAGGCGGCCCCCCCGGCGGGCAGGGCCGGCAGCTCCCCGGGGCCGGGCAGCGGCCGGGGCGTCCCGCAGCCTCCTGGGGGCCGGGGGCCACTGCCGGCCCTGCCCGGGGCTGGTGGGCTCAGGCAGCGCCCGGCGCTGAGCCCCGGCTGCCCCACAGCCCCGGCCCGGCCCCGCAGCTCCCCACAGGCCCCCAGCCCTGCTCCCGGTCCCGCACCTCTGCGCCCGCTGCTGCCGCTGCCCACCACAGAGAAACCCCTGACATCCTGACCTCCTGCTTTTCCTCTCCTGGAAACTGGGAATTCAAAGTATCAGCTGGCAAATTGTCAGGATAAGACCCTGCTGAAAAACATCCCAATCCTGAGTATTTTTCTGTTCCTCCTCTTTGCCATCATCCTTTTTCTTACCACACACATTCCTCCTGCTGCTTCTTGCCTGAACCATATTGCTGCACACTCCCCTTCACCCGATCCCTTCCCAGCACACCAACACCATCCATCCCCTGTTGTCCAAATCCCTTCTCCCCTTCCCTTATTGCCCCCCCTGGGTGTCCATGTCCTTAATTACCTCTGGGGGAATGTGCAAACTACCTCAGCATTCTCCCAAGGGACCCTTCAGAGACATTTTGGGATCATCATCCCTTTGGCCAGGACCCCTCCCTGGCTTTCCCTTTTCTCCCCTCCATGGGTGCCCTGCCATGTTCACTCCCCGAAGATCCCAGGGCACTCACTGATGAGATTTTCAGTGCTCTCTCCCTGCTGACTCTTCACAGACCCCCCTGATGTGTCACTCGTCTGTCTCCTGGTCACTCCCGGGTCCCCAATCAATCCCCGGTGCCGCCGCCAGCCAAGGGAGCCGATCACCCAAAGTGGGTGAGGCACCTTCAGCTGCACTCCCTGCCCCAGGGTGTGCGGGAAAATTGACATCACCAGAGGATTCTGTCCACAAAGCAGACAGAGGAGTCCTGTGAAACTAATTTCATTTCTAAAAATGGGAGAGGCCATGGGACATTCCCCATGGGATCTCTCCAATTGTTGGAGGACACAGCCTCCTTTTCATCCTAATTCTCCTGGCCACATCTCCCTCTGCTTTCCCCATTGGCTGAAGCACTTGAGAGCTACAGACTTCCCAATCCACCTACTACATACTCCCTTAATATGCTCCCTGCTTTTATATAGCAAATGATATTCATGGCTCTGTTAAGTCTTTGTTGTTCTTCTGGAAGTTCATGAATAGAGCAGGGCCTTGGCTGAGCAGCAGTCTGTGTCATCAATTAATAACATTTTCTGAAACCGATTCCTTCTCCTGTCACTCCCTTGTTTACAGCTCCCTGGCCCTCTGAGCCTTCCCCAACTGGACTCCCCCCCTCGGCCCCATCGCCCCCGCGAGGGGAATTTGGGGAGGTGGGAGTGGGGCAGCGCCAAGGCCGGGCCCCCCCGCGCTGTCCTGGCGGGAGCGGCTGCAGTGGGGACCGAGTGCGGGCGGGAGCGGCCGAGAGCCCAGCGCTGCCCCAGCCCGACCTGCCCCAGCTCCATCCCTGCCCCTCGGCTGGGATGCTGTGGGTCTGGGGGGAAGAGGGAGCCGGCAGTGGGTGCTGGGCCTGGGGGCAGGAGGAGAAGGGAAGGAGAAGCAGGCTTGAGGAACAGAATGGTCAAACGATGCAGGTGGCAGGAGAGGGTGGGATTGTGCAGGAGAAGGAGGAATAGCAGGAGGAAGAGGAGTGTGAGGAAGAGTAGAGACACAGGAGGAGGAGGAGGAGCAGAAAGAGGAAGCAGCAGAAGGTTCCACCCCTCCCTGTATCTGCAGCCTCCCCCCAGCCCCAGGAGCGTTGCTCCCCCCACATGCAGCAGGTGACTGTGGAGGGGGATCCAGGATTTTCCCAGGGTGAATCTTGGTGTTTCTGAGCTTTCTTGGGCTAAATGTTGGTGCTTTGGTTTTATGTGGCAGCTGAATCTTTATGTTTTGGAGGAGGTTTTTGCTGACTTGTGATGTTTGGGGAGTTTTTGATCTGTATCTTGAAGTTTGTGGGATTTTTGGGCTGAATCTTGGTGTTTTGGAGGTTCTTACAGACACAAGATTCCCAATGACTTCCTGAGATGAACTTGGGCAAGGAGGAACCTCCAGTCCAAGGTGCTCTCCTCTTGTTTTTTTCCCCAAACCAGGATTTTTCATTCCCTGGGCGTGTCTGGATGGAGGAGGAGGAAAAGCCCCGGAGATGCTGCAGGAGGAGGAGCTGCAAACCCAGCCCAGGGAGCTGCGGGGAGGAAAGAGCCCCCCTGAGCCAGGAAGGCGGGCGGAGATCCAGCCAGAGCTCGGAGCTGGTGGAGAAGTCTCATGGCAGGGAGAAGCCCCACAAGTGCTTGGAATGTGGGAAGGGTTTCAGCTGGAGCTCCCACCTGATCGAGCACAAGAGGATCCACACTGGGGAGAGGCCCTACGAGTGTGGGGAGTGTGGGAAGAGGTTTCGGACCAGCTCCAATCTCCTCGTACATGAGCGGAGTCACACAGAGGAGAGGCCCTTCCGCTGCCCCGACTGCGGGAAGGGCTTCAAGCACAACTCCCACCTCACCGTGCACCGGCGCATCCACACCGGGGAGAGGCCCTACGAGTGTGGGAAGTGTGGGAAGGGTTTCAGACACATGTCTGGCCTGATCGAGCACCAGGTGATCCACACTGGGGAACGGCCCTATGAGTGCTTGGAATGTGGGAAGAGCTTTGGGTGGAGCTCAGACCTGAGAACACACCAGCGCATCCACACCGGGGAGAGGCCCTATGAGTGTCCCCAGTGTGGGAAGAGGTTTCAGACCAGCTCCAATCTCCTCCTACATGAGCGGATTCACACAGAGGAGAGGCCCTTCCGCTGCCCCGACTGCGGGAAGGGCTTCAAGCAAAACTCCCACCTCACCGTGCACCGGCGCATCCACACTGGGGAGAGGCCCTACGAGTGTGGGGAGTGTGGGAAGAGCTTCTCACAGAGCTCTCACTTGACCCAGCACCAACGGAGGCACCACTAAGGGAAGCCCTGTGAGTGCCCCGAGTGAGGGAAGAGCTTGGAGTGAGGGAAGAGAGTGAGGGAAGAGCTTGGAGTGAGGGAAGAGAGTGAGGGAAGAGCTTGGTGCGCTGCTCCAGCTCCATCCCCCATGGGAGGATCCGGGCTGGATGATCCCCAGTGACCCCCGTTGGGCAGAGCCCTGCTGATCCGTGGTCCTGGTGATCCATGCTGGGTGTGGGGAAGGTGTTGGCTTCTTCTCCTTGTGCTGCTGTGATTTGGGGGGGTTCCCATGGATGGGGGATGGGAGGTGAGTGGGGGGTCCTGGCGCACTGCGGGGGGCTCATAGCTCGGGGGGTCCCAGCGCTTTGGGGGAGTCAGGGAAGGGGGGAAGCAGTGAATGGGGGGGTCCCAGTAAATTGGGGGGGGCGCTGATGATAACAGGGGGTCCTGGGAGACAACGGGGTGGGAAAGGACCAAACCCTAAGGGACTCCCCTAGTGCTGGTGAACCCCCCGTGCCCCCCCAGCCCTTGGGGTCCCCACAGTCCCTGCACTGTTCCTGGGGGTCCCACGGCTCTGGGGGGTCAAAGCGGAGGGGATGGAACCTCCGTCATGGATGGGGGGCACAAAGGGGGTCCGGGCCCAGTGCTCGGCGGGGTCGGTGCACGAGGGGGGCCCGGTCCCTGTCCCGGTGCACGGGGGTGGCGCTGCCTGGGGGGTCCCGGTGCTTGTGGGGTTCCCAGGGTTCGAGGGGGGTCCGGTCCCTATCCCGGTGCTTGGTGAGGGGGGGCAGTGCCCGGGGGGCTCCCACTGCTCGGTAATTGGGGGGTGTCAGAATCCAGGACATCCCTCTGGCTGCCCTGGATGGCTCGAGACCCTGGCAGGGGCCTCGGAGACCTTGGCATGGTGTCAAGAACACCGGTGGCTTTGGTTTTAGCCCCTGGAGAAAATTGCCAACTTTGTATGAGGAATTACAAGGCACAAGGGTTTGAGTAGCATGGTAGGTGAATTAACACAGGGTGGAAAAGTAGAATTTTAACATTTTAAAATACGGGGTTCAATGGGACAAGGTGGAGGGATCTGGGTGTGTCCTGACCTTCTTCTCCTTCTTTTTGCCCTCCATGTCTTGCTGTGATGGTGACACTTTTCTGTTGGTTGAAGGTAGAGACACACTGTCCAACATAAATGATAGATATTGGCACGTTATTGTAAACACAGTACAGGTAGTTTTTAGTGTAGAAGGCAAACAGCGCCCTGAGGGCAGGGAGACTGCCACAGACCGACCTGCTAGACAGAGCTCAGCAGAGCGGACAAAGCTGTTAGAGAAAAGGGAAAATAAACGGCCCTGAGAAGCAAAGCTCCGCATCTCGACTCCTTCTCTGCCCGCGCGGGCTGGGAGAAAAGGACTTTTCACAATCTCGGGGTCATCTCGACCCCCAGAAAACCGAGAGGGGGTCTCCACTCGTCCCAGTGCCCGGTGAGGGGGGGTCAGTGCTCGAGGGGGGTTCGGGGGCACTGAAGGGGGTGCGGGTGTGGTTTTTGGGGGGTCCCAGCGCCCCCCGGGGCAGGGTCAGTGCTCAGCAGTGGGGGCTGCCTGGGGACCCCCCCGGCCCCCAAATCACAGCCGGGTCTCCTGCAAGGCACTGAGGGGAGGCTCGTTCACCCCCCCGCCCCCACCAGCATCACCACACACCTTCCCAAAGTGTCCCCAAGTGCTCCCAAAGTGCCCTCAGAATGTCCCCGAGTCTCTGCCGAGGTGACACCGGCCTGATGACGGCCCAGTGGTGATGTTGCTCTGTGCACAGCAGCCTCGGGATGTCCTCCATGGCTCTTTGGCACCGCTCGGCCACTGCACAGCCACCGTGGCCAGGAGAGGGACAGAAGAAGAGGGTGTTGATGTCCCCAAGTGTCCCCAGCAGGTGACGCGTGGCCAGGCGGGCACTGGCCTCCCACAGCTGCTCAGCCTCGGCCGCTGTGGCCACCAAGGCCGCACGGAAATCGGGACACCTCCATTGTCCCCTCCAGGGCAGCCTCGATGTCCCGCGGTGGCTTTGTCACACGCGGCCACCAAGTCCCCCAGCAGCCCCAGGTACAGCTCCAGCCGCTGTCCCCTCCCGGTGGCCGCATCCCTGCAGGCGTCGCGGAGCTCGGTGGCCGCCTTGGCCAGCCGGGCCCAGCTGTCCATGAGCCTGTCCAGCACACGCCTGGCGCTGGCCAGGGCTCTCACACAGGCCCAGGTGGTCCCTGGGGTGTCCCCGAGGTTGGCCAGGGTCCAGCCCAGGGAGGGGACAGGGCGGTGGCCCAGGGAGGGGACACGGTAGTGGCGCAGGGCGTCCTGGAGGTGAAAGATCAAGGTCCCCACAGCCACCCGCAGGAACTCTGGGGACACGGCCAGCAGCACGTCCCTGTGCGGCCTGGCCACGGTGGCCATCAGTTCTCTCAGGGTGGCCACCAGCTCGCCCAGTGTGGCCACCACGGCCACCATCGCCTCCAGCAGCTGGTGGGGGGACAGCTGGGGAGGGGACAGGAGAGGTGTCAGGGGCCTGGTGGCAGTTGTGGCCTCCTACAGTGGCCCCTGTGCCCTCCTGTGGTCCCGTTTGTCCCCTCCCTGGAGGGCTCTGCTGTCCCCTCTGTCCCTTTTGTCACCCCCTCATCCCCCACATTCCCCCCCTGTCCCCTCCTGCCACCCTCAGTCCCCTCCAGCCCCCTGCCACCCCCGTGTTCTGCTGTCCCTTCTGCCACCCCTCTGTCCCCTCTGCCCCGCCCCGTGTCCCCCCTGTCCCCTCCCGCCGCCCCGCCGGGATTGTCGCATATCACGGGTGCCGTAGTGCACCTTTTCCCCCCTTTGTCCCGTGGGGGGAGGGGAGCGCGGGCAATTTCCGTCTTTTCCAGCGAGCCCTCGCGGGCGTCGGCCGGGGCTACGTGGGTCTGAGAGCAGAGGCGTGTCCCGCGGCGAATAAAGGGAGAGAGACTTTTCTCTCGCAGGCAGAATTCCGGTTTATTGCAGTTTGGCTGGGAAAGCAAAAACCGAAAAGACTGCGGCGTGCCGCGCTGGAGTTTGTTTGTGCCGCCTTGCCGGTCAGGGGCGGGGCGGCGTGCTCCGGAGCTGGCCGCGAGCCAGGGGAGGCGGCGCGCGGGGCTGCGGCGCGGTGGCCGACTCACGCGGGTGCCGTGGCGGGAGCGGCGGCAGCGGTCGCGGAGCGGAGCAGCCGCAGCGGGGTCGTCCGGAGCGGCGGCGGCGGCAGCAGCAGCACGCGGGGGCCGGCAGAGAGAAAAGCCGCGGCGGGGGAGCGGGGCGGCAGCAGCACGCAGTGGCCGGGCGAGAGAAAAGCCCGGGGCGTCCCCAGCCCGCAGGTTAAGTACCGAACAGGGGAAACCCGGGGCAGCCAATGGGGTAACGCCACGGGGGGTCTGAGGGCAGTGGGGTGCAGGGGTACATCCAATGGGGAATGGACAGGTGGAGGGTCCCAGGGCATCTGCCGACCCCGCCGCGTGACTGACAGATGGCCTGAGATGTAAACACAATGACTCTGCACTTTCCCGGGAAGGCAAACCGCGGGGACAGATGGGAAAACCCGGGGGGGTCGCTACAGAGCGCGGGGGGGGTACATGGAACGAAATTATACATAATAAAACATATAATAACACAATTCCACACCTGAGGGACACCTGAGGGACACCTGAGTGACACCTGGCACACCTGAGTGACACCTGGCACACCTGGGCACAGGTACATCACACCTGAGTAACACCTGAGTGACACCTGAGTGACCCCTGGGCACAGGTAATGTTACACCTGGGGACGGATGTCACACCTGGACACAGGTGATGTCACACCTGGGTGGGTGCAGGGACACAGAGCCACCTGTGCAGGGACACGGTGATGTCACGTGTATGACATCATAGCACCTGGGGGATGAGACAGCTGGGGAGGGGGGAACATCACAACATCACAGCTGCTGAGGTGACACACACAGCAGGAGCCCCAAGGAACACCTGGATCCCCCCAAATTACACCTGGGACACCCCCAAAACCACCTGGAAATGCCTCAGGGACACCTGGATCAACCCTGGGACATCTGAACTTCCCTCAAGGACACCTGGATCCCCCCAAAAACCACCTGGGCCTACCCAAAAACCACCTGGACCCACCCAGGATCTCCTGGACCCACCCAGGGACAGCTGGACCCGCCCCCCAAACTCACTGGGACCCCACTGAAACTCACCTGGATCCCCCTCTAAATCCACCTGGGAACCCCAAAACGCACCAGGACTCCCCCAAAACCCACTTGGAGCCACCCAGGAACACCTGGGATCCCCCAAACTCATTCGGACCACCCCAAAGCCCACCTGGAGCCCCCCAAAATCACAGGTGTGGTCCTGCTCCCCCACTCCCCTGGGTTTGAATTTTTGGGTCGATTTGTGGCGATTTTTGGTTTCCATTGATAAAAATCTATCCGGGGGCGGGGCCAAGGCTCATTTGGGGTGGGGCTTCAGGAGGGGGCGGGGCCAGAACCCGGAGCTGGGAACTGGGAGGGGCGGGGCCTGAGGGGGCGGGGCGCTCGGTGGGCGTGTCCAGCAGCAAGGGGCGGGGCCAAAACACGGGGCGGGGTCTAAAGAGGGCGTGGTCAGTGTCTGGGGGTTCGTCCTGCCGCTCCCACCCCCCCAAAATCCCCCGGACCCTCCCTCACCGCCCCTCCCCCACCCATGGGACACACCCCGAAACCTCCCCAGCCCCTCCCCCTCGGGCCCCCCCAAGCTGTTTTCAACTGGGAACCCCCAAATCTTTGGGAATTCTCACCTGGGACCCCCTAAAGCTCCCCTGCACCCCTCCGAAATCTTCTCAGGACCCCACAAACCTCACCTGGAACCCCCCAAACTCTCACCTGAGACCCCCAAACTTCTCCTAGGACCCCCAGACCTCACCTGGGCAGCTGGGAAACCCCAAATCCTTGGGAATTCTCACCTGGGACCTCCCAAACCTCACCTGGGACTACCCAAATCCTCACCAGGGACCCCCCAAAGCTCACCTAGGACCCCCCCAAAATCTCCTCAGGATCCCCCAAAAGCGGCCAATGTGAGAACCCCGGGATTGATTTGGGGCTCTCGTGTGGTGGTAAAGTCTCTCCTCCAACCCGTGCTTCAAAAGAAAAACTCCACAGCCTCTTGTTGTTCGGTCTCAAGGCAGTTTGTTGCTAGCTATCTAAAAGATTGTCCTCGCCCGCTGCGGCTGCCTAGATCAGCGGCCCAGGCAGAGGTACACACTCTCCTGACACCCTCACTGTCCGGTGTCTTCGTCGTCTCTCTCCCCGCCCAAAGCTGCTACTATCTTTTATATGATATATTACGTACTATATGTTTATAGATTTTCCCCAATACCTACTATCTACGTTACAATGTGCTTTTCTACTCTAAACCAATCTGTGAATGCCAACATCACCAAGAACATGGAGGTAAGGAAGAAGAAGGAGGAAGAATAGGATAAGGACCACTTTCCTCCATCTTAGAACTCCTGACCCCCCTGTACAAAGTGAAAACCCCCCTGTACAGGTACTAAAACCCCCCTGTACAACACTAAAAAATTTTACCCTCTAATTTGTGACTACTTTTACTATACCATCTAACATTCTGTGACTGCTTGTTCCACCCTCAAAGTTGGTAATTCATTCCATGGTTCAAACTCAAAATCACAGCTGTTTTCAGCTGCTTGCCAGGGTCTAAAATGCTTCTGACCAAGGCCTGGAACCTCTAAAAATGTCTGAGGGACATTTTGGGTTCCGACATCTCCCCTCTCTGTTTGAACCAGAAACACCTGCTTTACCATGCTGTTCAAGGTCTTTCGAATACACACGAAAATGCATGGTAGAACAAGCAGAAGAACTACAAGCCCTATAAGAATATAAAATGCTATTTTCGAAAGTTCTTTCCACAATGGTGAGATATCAAAAAGGTTAAACAAATTATCCCACCAGGACCCTGTAACTCTGTTCAATTTGCTAATACTATTCTGTATTTGTTTTATATTTTCATGAATAGATTTTGAATGATCGGACAAGTTCATGTAGCACATCCCCTCAAATTCCTCACATCCGTGCCCATGTGTCAGCAGCAAATAATCAATTGCCGCCCTGTTTTGAAGCACTGCTTGCCTTGCACCGCTGATGTCTGTTAACATGTCACTCAGTGCAAACGAAATGGCACGACTGTGTTTACTCAACCAACACGCTATATGATCCAATTGTGTCAAGGCCACCCCTGATGCTGTTTGGGGTGAGAAAATTGCTATTGCAATTCTCTGAGCCTTGTTCCAGGTAGAAACATCATCATCACAATTTGGACTATATTGTTCAAGGGATCTTTTTTCCCTGTGTGTCTGCTTTTGTAAAGTTTTCAAATCAGGTGTTAACAATGAGAGTTCCCCGATGCTGCATGGACCGCCCTTGATTTTTGCAGGGATAGCAGGCCAAATTCTGTCCCCGCAAATGAAAAACATTCCCTTCGGTAAAGTGGCTGGGTGTTGAAGGGATGGTTTGCTTGTTATTTTTGTGTGATTGCACCAAGATGATGCATTTTTATAAAAAGGCTGATTGGGAGTGACATCTATTGTATGATTATCTGTCTTTGCCACTCCTGATGAATCAAATTTGATGCACCATTTCATTTTTGTTGATCCAAAAATGTCCAATTCTGGAGGTTCCAAGTGAGCCACAGGAAGGTACTGTGTCCAAACTTGCCATCCTTCCACAGGATCTGAAAAAGTTTTCAGAATCTCTGGAGGGATGCTTTTTGGAATTGGCCATTCCTTCACTGGCACACCTACTAAACATGTTGAAAATGGTTTTCCTGGCTTTGAATGAGTCAGACAAATGCTGTCTAGACCCGCTGCCTTTGCCAAAGTTTCCCACACATTTTCCTTTGGTTGTTTCACGGGAAAGTCTGTCCAATTGCCCAAGGCAATAGGCAAGAGAATGAAGCACATGAACACTATCTGCCTGGATCCCATGTCCATGCCCCCACCCTCTGTGAGAGACCCCGCAATGCAGCAACACCCAAACAACACTTGATTTCCCAGGAAAAGAAAACCCCCCAAGTCTCTGGGTGATCAGTCGTTGTCTGATGTGACGTCTGCGTCGTCGTCTGCCTTCGTCTGCGTGCTTGCTTCTCTGCTTCTCGGGTCCACGTCCACTTGCGTCTGCACCCGATAAGGTTTCACGTGCCTCGCCGACACCCACTTCGGTCCTCGCTCTGTGGAAACACAAGTGAAACCCTTGCCCCAAGTTATTAATGTAAATGGACCTTCAATTTGTCCCGATTCTGGATTTCTGATCAAAACTAAAGGATTTTCCCTTAGCTTTGCTTGTGTGCTGTTTGTGAAGTGCCTAACAATTGGTGGAGTGGGTTCTGAGAAAGAACCATTTAAAAAATTCAATACATACAGAGCTTTGTTCAACCGCATGTGTGGTGTTGCGCCTGCTTCCCCTCTTTTCTGTTTATCCAAGAGGGATTTCAGGGTGTGATGTGTTCTTTCAATGATTGCTTGACCTGAGGGAGAATAAGGAATACCAAAAATGTGTTTGACTCCCCATTTTTTCAGAAATTTGTCAAGCACCTTACCTGTGTAAGTTGGACCATTATCTGTTTTTATTTCTTGTGGCACCCCGAGTGATGCAAATGCTTGCAAAAAATGTCTGCAGGCATGTTCTGCAGTTTCCCCTGTATGTAGTGATGCGAAAATTGCTCCTGAAAATGTGTCAACTGAAACATGGATATTTTTGAGCTTCCCAAAAGATGGGTATTTTGTCACATCAGCTTGCCACAGCTGAAGACTCTGCAATCCCCTTGGATTGACAGCTCCTGTGGATGCAGGAGGCTGCACAAGCTGACAATCTGGGCAAGCACTGATGATTTCCCTCGCCTGACTTTTAGAAAGGCGGAAGGACTCCATCAGCGCCTGTGCATTTTGATGGAAAAATGCATGGCTCAATTTTGCCTGCTCAAAAATATCTGGCAATGTCTGTGATATGGTCATTGTGAGCCTATCTGCGTGAGCATTCCCTTCTGCTAGGAACCCTGGGAGTGAGGAATGTGCCCTGATGTGTGCAACAAAATACTTGTGCTCTCTATTTTCTAGAATTGTCCTCATGCATAACAAATATGAATATAAAATTTCATTGTCAGTGTGTTTCAAAAGTGATCCCTCTAATCGTTTGACCACATTTGCAACATATGCTGAATCTGTGATCAGATTGAGAGGTTCCTGAAACAATTGAAAAACCCTGACCACTGCTGCCAATTCCACAATTTGTGGTGAACCCTGTACTATTTTTATGTCTGATTCCCATTCCCCTGTTTTTGGATTTTGCCATGTGACCACTGATTTGTGAGTTTTCCCTGAACCATCAGTGAATATTGTCATCCCTTCCACTGGTTCCTGGCTTATTTTTGGCTTTTCCCTGAAACTCACTTTTGCATTTAACATCCTGTGCGCCGGGAAATGAACTGTACAAATCCCTGGATATCCTAACAAAGCAATTGCAAGATCCTGTGATTTCTGCATCGCCCACTCAAAATATACTTTCTTTAAAGGTACATGAATGACTGAGAAATCCCTGCCTGACATCACCAGCAATCTGGTTCTCGCCTTAATAATAATTTGTGCTATCATTTCTAAATCTGTAAGAATTGTTTTTGAGGGCCTGTAAGCTAAAAAAACCCACTCTATCAACAAAAGAGGGTCCATTTGAGACAAATCCCATTGAAAAATCAACCCATATAACTGTGCTGTCTCCCCCAACACTGCTAAATGAAAAGGCAATGATTCCACAAAGCGATGTGCTTGTCTCTGTTGAATCATGTCTGTGATCTTCTCAAGATCTTTTCTTGCTTCAGGTGTCAGAGTTCTGGGAGATTTGATGTTGTTGTCCCCTCTCAAAAGATCGAGCAGTGACGAGATGTCATCATTGGTGATTCCCAGGATTGGTCTCATCCAGTTGATCTCCCCCAAAAGCTGCTGTAAATCCTGCAGATTGGTGACCTTTGTGTTGATCTCCAGCTTTTGTGGTCTTATTGTTTGCTTCGAGATTTTCCAGCCCAGATATTTCCAAGGTGCAATTTCTTGTATTTTTGGTGCACTGATTTCCAGTCCTGCCTTTTGCACCTGTGCAATCACACAGTCACGAACCTCTTGCACCTCCTTTTTTGTCGGTGCTGCAATGAGCAAATCGTCCATATAATGAATAATTTTTGGTTTTGGATGCTTCTCTCGTGCTGGATGCAATGCTTGGGCCACGTACCACTGACAAATGGTTGGAGAATTTTTGAGACCTTGCGGAAGAACTGTCCAATGGTACCTTTGCAGAGGTTCTTCTCTGTTGATGCTTGGGACAGAAAATGCAAAGCGTGGAGCATCATCTGGATGAAGTGGAATGCTGAAAAAACAGTCCTTGAGATCAATGATCACAAGTGACCAGTCTCTCGGGATCATTGAGAGAGATGGGAGTCCAAGCTGAAGTGGTCCCATGTCCTCGATGACCTCGTTGATTTTCCTGAGATCATGAAGCAGTCTCCAAGACCCTGAAGTTTTCTTGTGAATGACGAACACTGGAGAATTCCATGGGCTGTCTGTGGGTTTGATGTGTCCCTTCTGCAGCTGTTCCTGGACCAGCTTTTTCAAGGCACTCAATTTCTTTCGCTCAAGGGGCCACTGATCCACCCAAACAGGATCATTTGTTTTCCAGGTCAGCTTCAGAGTGGCGAGTGCCACAGTGACCCCTGTCAAAAATCCAATTCTAATTTCAGTCCCCATTGTGCCAAAAGGTCCCTTCCCCACACTGTGATGGGCTTTTGCACGATGAAAGGACGGATGACTGCTGTTTTCCCTCCCGGGCCTCTGACAACGATTGCATTTTCACTCTGCATGCATAGGGAACTTCCTCCTATGCCTGAGAGAGAGCCCAAAGGTGCAACCAAGTCCCATTCCCGGGGCCAAAAAATGTATGAAATAACTGTAGCATCTGCTCCTGTGTCAAGCATTCCCGTGATAGTAATTGTCTTTTCGTTACAAGTCAACTGACAAGTAACAACAGGCCGATCTCGGCTCACATGTTTCACCCAAGATGCATGCACTTCTGCTTGATCACCAGAAAAAGAGTCCCGTGTGTTGAACACTGGCATGACTTGCCTTTCTGGGTGAGATGGCAAAGCCATGGCTCGAGCAATTGGTGTATTTTGTGGAATTGTCAAAGGTGGTCGCAAGGCTTTTGCTGTGACCATCAGCTCCTCATTACGGTTTGCTGAAATCAAAGATGGGTAAACAACAAGTCCAAGAATGCTGCTTCTGTCTCTGGCCATTATTAAAAAATCCTGCCTTTTCCAAGAAGTCCCTGTGACACCTGTGGGTATCACTGCATGGCTATTGTCCAAAAAACACGTCAATTTGGAGGTTGCCAGGACGCGTTGGAATCCGGGTGGTACCAAGTCTGGGTCGCTGGGGATTTTGGAGATTGCTCTGCTGAAGGATTCTGTTTGTTGTTCCCCGAGGATTGCTCCTGCTGATTCTGTGTCACCGCCAGAATTTGTGTCGGTGCGCGCTGGCGTCGATTCGCGCTCTTTTTCCCGTTTCCCGGAACCGGAAGAGGTTTTCCATCCACGTCTGTCTGTGAGTGGCACTCACTCGCGAGATGTCTCCCTCTCCTGCATCGAGGACAGAGGTCTGGTGGCTTGTTGGGCTTTGCAAGTTGTGGGCAGTTCCTTTTAAAATGTCCTTGTGCCCCACACCCAAAGCACCGTCTCTCTGCACCGGTGTTGCCCTTTGCATAATTTGCAAGAACTTCCTTAACACGCTTTTCAATTCGATCCCCCAAGTGTTCCTCCATGATGGAAGCAACATGTTGTGGTGTTCCCACCTTGCTGCACGCCTCGATCATGTCTGCCAAGGTGGCCTGGTGTGGCATCATGCTGATGATTCGCCTGCACTCTGGGTTGGCATTGGAGAACGCGAGGCTTTTGGTCAGATGTGGTTTCGCCCCCTCCTCGGTCACCTGCCGCTCCACTGCCTGAGAAAGACGATCCACGAACGAGGAAAATGGCTCTGAAGAACCCTGCTTGATCTCGGTGTAGATGTTGTCCTGGACCCCCGCCGGAGCAATCTGAAGAATTGCTCTCCGTGCCGCCTCTTTGATGTCGCTGAGCACGTGTCGTGGGAGTCTCACCGCCTGCTGAGTTGGATCGTCCTCAGGAGGATCACCGGCAAGCTGCACCATGGTGAGGTTCGCGTTTGGCCCGCCTTGGTATCTGGCTCTCAGCTCCTCCAGGGATCTCCGCCACGCCTTCTGCCAAATGAGAGCTTGGGTGTCTGTAAGAACTGATGTTGCGAGATATTTAAGATCATACGGTGTTAAATCATACATGCCAAAAATACTTTTCAACATCTGTTTGAAATATGGTGATGACAACCCATTGTCCCGAATGGCCTTAGCTAAATCTTTGATTGCTCCACGATCCAGGCGTTCCCATCTCGGGTTTTGGCCCTGAGCATCATAGTTCACTGGCATCACTATGTTTCCCGAACCCTGCAATAAACCTTTCTCCTTCTCCAATTCTGCCCGAATGTCCTGCCAGTCCACTTTCGCATCCGGCAAAGCTGGAAATTCTGTGGGTACTTGCCTGTAGAGTGGAGTCATCTGAGGTGACTGCAGCTTTGATGCAGCAGCACTCACCGATACCAACGGCGTCTGCGGCATCTGTGAAGATGAAGGCTGGGTGCCTCCGGAGAAAAGTGGAGCACCTGCTGTGGAGGAGAACACATGACTGCCCTGCATTATTTGGAAAATTTTTGGAAGATGAACCAACAGCTCTGGCTGCGACTCCAAGGCTATGCTTAAATATCGTAAAAGAAATTCAACAACCCTTTTTGATACTGAAATTGATTCTCCCTGCCCCGAAATTTTGGCAGACCTTGATTTTGGAATTGTCCAAGCTGGGACACCCTCCGAGGCAGTGATGCGAATCGTGTCATCCTGTTGTTGAGCCCCAGCAGAAGTGTCCTGAGTCCCACACTCTTCTGGAGTCAGCGGAGATTCCTGCTGTCGTGCAGATGCAGCTCTTCTCATCCTAGATTTTTTCTTATAAGAAGCTGGAAAAAAGTCTTGAATTGTCAAAGTCCCACCACTGTGTGACACCTTGCCTTGTCTGACTGGGTCCTGTAAAATCTGCTGCAATGTTGTGGTTCCGCCACTAGATGGCGCTGCCGCCTGACCAACTGAGGTCGGGACTGCACTTGGCTCTTCAATTTGCACTTCTGATAAATATTTGAGCATCTCTTCTGACAACTGATTCACATTTGCAAACCCCGTGGTAATTCCTGATAAATGTTTGAGCATTTCTCCCCATAACTGATTCACGTTTGCAATCCCTGCACTCTGTGAAACTGACTCTTGTAACAACTGTTCTATTCTGCCCATGTCTGAAGCTGACAGGGGTTGGCTGTGGGCTTGGGCTGACTGTTGCCATGGGAACTGCAACGGAACCGTGCCCTGAGGAATGTTTACATCCTGGCCACGCCCCGACTCTGCCTGCGTCATCACGGGGGTGCGGACGCCTCTGCTCCGACTCCGGCTGTGCTTTCGCCTAGCTCCACCCCGCACTGCCTCAGATTCAGAGCTACTGTCGTCCTCCCCAAGACTGACGCAACTACTTTCCTGTTCCCATTCTGGCCCTGATGTTTCCGCCTCGCTTTGCCCCTCTCCTGGCTCTGCGCCAGCACCCACAGCCCGCGTGTGCCGGCTCCGCCCCGCCCGCGCCCGTGCCGCGCGTTCCAGATGCGAAAAATCCCCTCCCCCCGTGGCTTCCGGGTCCCGCTCAACCTTCCCGCGCATGCCCGCCGCCAGAGCTGCAGCGAGGGACGCCTCCCGCTGTCCCTCTGCCGCTCCCTCGGCAAATGCGGCTGCCGCGGTCAGGGAGCCGCTCTCCCGTGCCATCCGGGCGGCCGCCTCGGCGGCCTCACGGATTCTCGACATCGAACGCGTCACCGGACGCTCAGAGCGTCCCACCGCCGCACTCGCACCCCCCGCTTTCGCCCCTGTCCGTCCCGCCCCCGCCCGTCCCCTCGCTTTCGCTTTCTGCGCGGGCTGTTTTGAACTCCCAGCCTGCGCAGATGCGAGAGCACTTTCCTCTCCCTCCTCCCTCTGCTCAACACTCACGCACGCACTCTCACCCACTGGGCTGCTGCCGGTGCCCCCCCACACCGCGGATTCGGGGGCCGCGCCTGGCTTGCTTGCCTCCATCTGGGGAGTCTCCACGTCGGAGGAGCCTGGGGACTCTCGGGACACTGAGGAGCAGTGGGAACTTGGGGATACGGGACGCGAAGGGGTATCCTCTACTATATCTGTGGTGGAAGGACCTGTCCCGAGCTGCTGGCTGGACTGTCCCCCCCCCTGTTTTTCCCCAGGAGCCGTGGCTGCCTGACTTGAGCTGCTGCATTGTGCGAGTGACTCTAAAACTGTTCTCGCTGAAGGTAGTAGTTCTGCAGCAAGCTTATCTTTCTTTATAGTTCGATAATATAATTGCTTATTAACTTCCTGCCAAAAATTTGGCTTAAACAACAAATTTAAATCCGAGGGTGGGAAATTACACCTCACCCACAATAACAACATTTTCAATTCTTTTTGAGTGATCTCTACCGGATGGGCAGAGATGATGCCTTGTAAAGCAGATACTATTTGAATTTCCTCCCGGGAGAATTCCCGTGGGACAGATACTGTCTGAGCTTCCTCTTGGGAGAATTCCCCCCCCATGTTCTTAATTTTGACCTTTCTCACCAAAATCTGAGTCAGCCCGAGGTCGGTCCGGAGATGGCACTGTTCACCGTCCAGCAGGTCACAGGTGAGAGATCCCAGGCGCGCTTCTGGGTCGTCTCCTCCCTGGAAAGTCCCCGAGACGAGTTGTCTTGGTGAAGGTCAGGTTCTTATCTTGAGCTTCTCATTCCCTCTCTTCTTGGAACTTGTGGAGAGTTTGTGCACTCTGCTGTTTTCCTTTTTTTGTTTTCTTTTCTGCCGCTGAGGGTTGGAGGCTGTTTTGATGTTTCTTCTTGTTGATGCCCTCCCAGGGACGCCAGGTGTGAGAACCCCGGGATTGATTCGGGGCTCTCGTGTGGTGGTAAAGTCTCTCCTCCAACCCGTGCTTCCAAAGAAAAACTCCACAGCCTCTTGTGGTTCGGTCTCAAGGCAGTTTATTGCTGGCTATCTAAAAGATTGTCCTCGCCCGCTGCGGCTGCTTTGGTCTGCGGCCCAGGCAGAGGTACACACTCTCCTGACACCCTCACTGTCCGGTGTCTCCGTCGTCTCTCCCCCTGCCCAAGGCTGCTACTATCTTTTATATGATATATTACGTACTATATGTTTATAGATTTTCCCCAATACCTACTATCTATGTTACAAGGTGCTTTTCTACTCTAAACCAATCTGTGAATGCCAACATCACCAAGAACATGGAGATAAGGAAGAAGAAGGAGGAAGAATAGGATAAGGACCACTTTCCTCCATCTTAGAACTCCTGACCCCCCTGTACAAAGTGAAAACCCCCCTGTACAGGTACTAAAACCCCCCTGTACAACACTAAAAAATTTTACCCTCTAATTGTGACTACTTTTACTATACCATCTAACATTCTGTGACTGCTTGTTCCACCCTCAAAGTTGGTAATTCATTCCATGGTTCAAACTCAAAATCACAGCTGTTTTCAGCTGCTTGCCAGGGTCTAAAATGCTTCTGACCAAGGCCTGGAACCTCTAAAAATGTCTGAGGGACATTTTGGGTTCCGACAGGCCAAAGGTGGGGCGGGGCTGGGGCGATGATGTCATCTCTTCCTGTTTCCCCTCTCCGGCCGCGCCGCGTTCCCACGTGTCCCCAACTGTCCCCGGCCGTGTCTCCTCCCCGGAGTGTCCCCAGCAGCCATGGAGCCCCGCGAGGTGCGACAATCCCGGCGGGGGGACGGGAGGGGACAGGGGAACACAGGGGTGGCAGAGGGGTGGAGAGGACAGGGCGGGACAGTGGGAGACGAGAGGGTGACAAAAGGGACAGAGGGGACAGCAGAGCCCTCCAGGGAGGGGACACACGGGACCACAGGAGGGCACAGGGGCCACTGTAGGACGCCACAACTGCCACCAGGCCCCTGACACCTCTCCTGTCCCCTCCCCAGCTGTCCCCCCACCAGCTGCTGGAGGCGATGGTGGCCGTGGTGGCGCCAGGACCCCCCAAAAACCGCACCCGCACCCCCTTCAGTGCCCCCAAACCCCCTTTGAGCACTGACCCCCCCTCACTGGGCACTGGGACGAGTGGAGACTCCCTCACGGTTTTCTGGTGGTCGAGATGACCCCGAGATTGTGAAAAGTCTTTTTCTCCCAGCCCGCGTGGGCAGAGAAGGAGTCGAGATGCGGAGCTTTGCTTCTCAGGGCCGTTTATTGTCCCTTTTCTCTAACAGCTTTGTCCGCTCTGCTGATCTCTGTCTAGCAGGTCGGTCTGTGGCAGTCTCCCTGCCCTCAGGGCGCTGTTTGCCTTCTACACTAAAAACTACCTGAACTGTGTTTACAATAACGTGCCAATATCTATCATTTATGTTGGACAGTGTGTCTCTACCTTCAACCAACAGAAAAGTGTCACCATCACAGCAAGACATGGAGGGCAAAAAGAAGGAGAAGTAGGTCAGGACACACCCAGATCCCTCCATCTTGTCCCACTGAACCCCGTATTTTAAAATGTTAAAATTCTACTTTTCCACCCTGTGTTAATTCACCTACCACGCTACTCAAACCCTTGTGCCTTGTAATTCCTCATACAAAGTCGGCAATTTTCTCCAGGGGCTAAAACCACAGCCACCGGTGTTCTTGACACCATGCCAAGGTCTCCAAGGCCCCTGCCAGGGTCTCGAGCCATCCAGGCAGCCAGAGGGATGTCCTGGATTCTGACACCCCCCAATTACCGAGCAGTGGGAGCCCCCCGGGCATTGCCCCCCCTTCACCAAGCACCGGGATAGGGACCGGACCCCCCTCGAACCCTGGGAACCCCACAAGCACCGGGACCCCCCAGGCAGCGCCACCCCCGTGCACCGGGACAGGGACCGGGCCCCCCTCGTGCACCGACCCCGCTGAGCACTGGGCCTGGACCCCCTTTGTGCCCCCCATCCATGACGGAGGTTCCATCCCCTCTGCTTTGACCCCCCAGAGCCGCGGGACCCCCAGGAACAGTGCAGGGACTGTGGGGACCCCAAGGGCTGGGGGGGCACGGGAGGTTAACCAGCACTAGGGTTCGGTCCTTTCCCCCCCGTTGTCTCCCAGGACCCCCTGTTATCATCAGTGCCCCCCCCAATTTACTGGGACCCTCCATTCACTGCTTCCCCCCTTCCCTGACTCCCCCAAAGCGCTGGGACCCCCCGAGCTATGAGCCCCCCGCAGTGCACCAGGACCCCCCACTCACCTCCCATCCCCCATCCATGGGAACCAACCCAAATCACAGCAGCACAAGGAGAAGAAGCCAACACCTTCCCCACACCCAGCATGGATCACCAAGACAAGGGATCAGCAGGGCTCTGCCCCACGGGGGTCACTGGGGATCATCCAGCCCGGATCCTCCCATGGGGGATGGAGCTGGAGCAGCGCACCAAGCTCTTCCCTCACTCTCTTCCCTCACTTTCCTCCTTAACTCCAAGCTCTTCCCTCACTCTCTTCGCTCACTCCAAGCTCTTCCCTCACTCTCTTCGCTCACTCCAAGCTCTTCCCTCACTCTCTTCGCTCACTCCAAGCTCTTCCCTCACTCGAGGCACTCACAGGGCATCCCTTACTGGTGCCTCCGTTGGTGCTGGGTCAAGTGAGAGCTCTGTGAGAAGCTCTTCCCACACTTCCCACACTCGTAGGGCCTCTCCCCGGTGTGGATGCGCTGGTGTGTTCTCAGGTGTGAGCTCCGCCCAAAGCCCTTCCCACATTCCAAGCACTCATAGGGCCGTTCCCCAGTGTGGATCACCTGATGCACCATAAGGCCAGACTTGTGTCTGAAACCCTTCCCACACTTCCCACACTCGTAGGGCCTCTCCCCGGTGTGGATGCGCCGGTGCACGGTGAGGTTGGAGTTGTGCTTGAAGCCCTTCCCGCAGTCGGGGCAGCGGAAGGGCCTCTCCTCTGTGTGACTCCGCTCATGTAGGAGGAGATTGGAGCTGGTCCGAAACCTCTTCCCACACTCCCCACACTCGTAGGGTCTCTCCCCAGTGTGGATCCTCTGGTGCATGATCAGGTTAGAGCTCCGACTGAAACCCTTCCCACATTCCAAGCACTTGTGGGGCCTCTCGCTGCCATGAGGCTTCTCCACCAGCTCCGAGCTCTGGCTGGATCTCCGCCCGCCTTCGTGGCTCAGGGGGGCTCTTTCCTCCCCGCAGCTCCCTGGGCTGGGTTTGCAGCTCCTCCTCCTGCAGCATCTCCGGGGCTTTTCCTCCTCCTCCATCCAGACACACCCAGGGAATGAAAAATCCTGGTTTGGGGAAAAAAACAAGAGGAGAGCACCTTGGACTCGAGATTCCTCCTTGCCCAAGTTCATCTCAGGAAGTCATTGGGAATCTTGTGTCTGTAAAAACCTCCAAAACACCAAGATTCAGCCCAAAAATCCCACAAACTTCAAGATACAGATCAAAAACTCCCCAAACATCACAAGTCAGCAAAAACCTCCTCCAAAACATAAAGATTCAGCTGCTACATAAAACCAAAGCACCAACATTTAGCCCAAGAAAGCTCAGAAACACCAAGATTCACCATGGGAAAATCCTGGATCCCCCTCCACAGTCACCTGCTGCATGTGGGGGGAGCAGCGCTCCTGGGGCTGGAGGGAGGCTACAGATACAGGGAGGGGTGGAACCTTCTGCTGCTTCCTCTTTCTGCTCCTCCTACTCATCTTGTGTCACTACTCTTCTTCACACTCCTCTTCCTCCTGCTATTCCTCCTTCTCCTGCACAATCCCACCCTCTCCTGCCACCTACATCGTTTGACCATTCTGTTCCTCAAGCCTGCTTCTCCTTCCCTTCTCCTCCTGCCCCCAGGCCCAGCACCCACTGCCGGCTCCCTCTCCCCCCAGACCCACAGCATCCCAGCCGAGGGGCAGGGATGGAGCTGGGGCAGGTCGGGCTGGGGCAGCGCTGGGCTCTCGGCCGCTCCCGCCCGCACTCGGTCCCCACTGCAGCCGCTCCCGCCAGGACAGCGCGGGGGGGCCCGGCCTTGGCGCTGCCCCACTCCCACCTCCCCAAATTCCCCTCGGGGGGCGATGGGGCCGAGGGGGGGGCGCAGGTGGGGTCCAGGTGGGGAACGCGGGGAGCTGCGAGTCTGCCTGGCAACTGGTGAGTCATCAGCGCCGCGGGCTCTGATTGGCTGAGCTCTGCCTGAGGGCTGGGGCTGCAGCAAAGAGGGGACACCCTGCTCCAGGGGGGATGTCCCACAAACGGAGGACCCCCATGAAAGGAACAAGAGCAAAGTGTCTTTACAAACAGATGCTCTGAATCTGCTCGGAGATAGGGCCAGGAAACTGTTCATGAGTAAGTGACAGGAGAAGCCATCGGTTTCAGAAAATGTTATTAATTGATGACACAGACTGCTGCTCAGCCAAGGTCCTGCTCTATTCATGAACTTCCAGAAGCACAAGAAAGACTTAACAGAGCCATGAATATCGTTTGCTATATAAAAGCAGGGAGCATATTAAGGGAGTATGTAGTAGGTGGATTGGGAAGTCTGTAGCTCTCAAGTACTTCAGCCAATGGGGAAAGCAGAGGGAGATGTGGCCAGGAGAATTAGGGTGAAATGGAGGCTGTGTCCTCCAACAATTGGAGAGATCCCATGGGGAATGTCCCATGGCCTCTCCCATTTTTAGAAATGAAATTAATTTCACAGGACTCCTCTGTCTGCTTTGTGGACAGAATTCTCTGGTGATGTCAATTTTTCCGCACACCCTGGGGCAGGGAGTGCAGCTGAAGGTGCCTCACCCACTTTGGGTGATCGGCTCCCTTGGCTGTCGGTGGCACCAGGGATTGATTGGGGACCCGGGAGTGACCAGGAGACAGACGAGTGACACATCAGGGGGGTCTGTGAAGAGTCAGCAGGGAAAGAGCACTGAAAATCTCATCAGTGAGTGCCCTGGGATCTTTGGGGAGTGAACATGGCAGGGCACCCATGGAGGGGAGAAAAGGGAAAGCCAGGGAGGGGTCCTGGCCAAAGGGATGATGATCCCAAAATGTCTCTGAAGGGTCCCATGGGAGAATGCTGAGGTAGTTTGCACATTCCCCCAGAGGTAATTAAGGACATGGACACCCAGAGGGGGCAATAAGGGAAGGGGAGAAGGGATTTGGACAACAGGGGATGGATGGTGTTGGTGTGCTGGGAAGGGATCAGGTGAAGGGGAGTGTGCAGCAATATGGTTCAGGCAAGAAGGAGCAGGAGGAATCTATGTGGTAAGAAAAAGGATGATGGAAAAGAGGAGGAAGAGAAAAATACAGAGGACTGAGATGTTTTTCAACAGGGTCTTATCCTGACAATTTGCCAGCTGATACTTTGAATTCCCAGTTTCCAGGAGAGGAAAAGCAGGAGGTCAGGAGGTCAGGATGTCAGGGGTTTCTCTGTGGTGGGCAGCGGCAGCAGCGGGCGCAGAGGTGCGGGACCGGGAGCAGGGCTGGGGGCCTGTGGGGAGCTGCGGGGCCGGGCCGGGGCTGTGGGGCAGCCGGGGCTCAGCGCCGGGCGCTGCCTGAGCCCACCAGCCCCGGGCAGGGCCGGCAGTGGCCCCCGGCCCCCAGGAGGCTGCGGGACGCCCCGGCCGCTGCCCGGCCCCGGGGAGCTGCCGGCCCTGCCCGCCGGGGGGGCCGCCTTTGGACACTGCGGCAGGACAGGCACCGGCTCTGCCACACGGGCTGTGCAGGGGA